TATGCGAGCAGCATGCGGCAAAGGCACTCTGCACCATTCGGCTTCGCAGAAGCAGCGTGCAGTAACACCGTACAACGAGAGGCTTCCGCCGCCGTCGCAGAGCGGGATAACACCTGCCGAGATGTGGCAAGCCAAACCACAACACATCTTAAGCTTGTGGCAGCTCTCTGTGCAGTGGCATTGCCTGAAAGTTCACCTCCTTGCCCTGGAGGCGGCAATGCCGAAGGGCAAAATCAATGCCGTTCGCCGATTGTGGTCCGTGGTAGCAAACCTTCAGCAGACTGTGTGCTAAAACTGCTGTTGCTCTTTGCCTGGCTTCTTGGAGTGCTTAAACGAATCCACGGCCTGTGCTTTCTCGGCAATATCAGCCACAGCCGTCACTTCATGCTTTTGCATAAAAGCATTCACCTTAAAGCAGGCATGCACACGTCAGCGCAACAACTCAAAGCAGACTTGTGATTGAAGATGATCCTGTTTTCAGGAGGCATTGCAAAGCATTCCTGTCCCAGTCACGAAGTGGCGCACCAAGCGGGCATCCTCACGACTTCACAGACCCTCCAAACTCTGTAGATCCGAACATGTTTTGCGACCCCCTGCACCTGAATGTCGCAGCGGAAACGCTGGCCCCATGCCTTGGAAAAGGCATCGCCTCGAAGAACCGCCATGGCGCTGTAGCAAGGCGCCTGACAAAAACCGTTTCCATAGCACCAGGGATACAAAACTCTCGTCTGGCCTCCCGCCGCATCAAAGATCGGAATGGCAACAGCAAGCCGTCCGCCGTGTCAGCCTCCTTTGATTGTAGTAAGATCTGCTTAGCTCGCAAAGCCCTCTCCACTTTCGCTCACACATGGCGAACCTGGAATGTAATCCCACAAGAAGGCGGTTGGCCAAGCGCAGCTGTGACTCTTCCAACGGTCGAGAAACTTCAACATCCTCCGGGCGGATCCTGAGCACCTTCCTTGCCAAGAAAGCAGCAAACTCTGCCGCCATCGCCTCCCACAAAGATGCACCATGAGGTATCTGAGAACCTGGCAACACTGTGTGGACCGCGCTAGATGCCAGCGCTGTTGGAAACTCTCAGCAGCTCTCAGCAATCATGTCAAGTGCTGAAGATGTTAAGTTTGTGATGCATGGGATCACATTTGTGAAGCGCTCCGCCAACGGGCACGGCATGTCTGCATATGCAGCAAAGTTGCCTGGAAGCAACAGCAGTAGCTTGCCATCTGAGTCGACGCACTTCTCTCGCCAGGCACCGACGACCGGAAGAAGAGGTCGAAGGAAGCCAGCCTGGTCCTGTCAAAGACAGAACAGCAGGCGCGCAGTTGGGTTCAGCAGATCTCGCGAGCTGCGCATTGAAAGCTCTTGAGGGCTCCTCGTTCAGATCTATTGCAGATTCATCACGATGCTCCACAAGGTTGAAGAGCGCGAGGGAAATCTGGCACACAGCAGAAGGCCCCAGGAGCAGAAGTTTGGAAACTGCCGAAAGGCAGGGTACTGTCGGGAGGCCTGCTTCGTCGCAGCTTTTGGATGCGGCCCCAAGTGCATGAAGCTCAATGGCGTGTTATCCAAACTGGCATTTCTCCTCACAGCTGGCGACTTTCGCGAAGATACGTGATATACATGTTCAAAAGGGACTTGTGCTGCATGCAGGCGCATCAAGTCCACGTCCTGCTCTGACGGAGACGATGCACCAAGCTAGACTGCATGGGGCAGCCAGCCGGAGAGCCGACAGAGTGAATAGGGCGTAGCAAATGCAGCGCTGGAGTGTTCCTGAGCTCTTGCAAGGAACAGCCCCACCTACATGTAGTAGCAGTCTATCTAGGCTCAGCTTAGCCGCCGCTTCTCGTTAACAGTGCTTCGAACTGCAGAAAGCCGGCCCTTGGAATCGGACTTATGTGCCTAATTCCACGTGTCTAGGACATGCCTTGCGTGCGTTTGCTTCGCACCTGCCAACTGCCCTTGCCTTGGCATCAATGGCCGTGTATCCATTTTCCAACGAGTTGATGCCTCGGAACCTGGTGGAGATCACCGCCTTATTCGTGTACGTGTACCTCACATGCCCTGTCCGTGAGGTGTGCGCTTTGTCCGTTCAAACAACTGGGGCCCGAACCAGCACAAGAACACCCAGCGCGGTCATGAAACTGCATGTGCTAGTGTTTTACAGCACACGTCAAGCTGAGCCGAAACCGACCCTTGTTCACAACACTTGGAAAGCAATGCTAAGCTGATAGCAGATGACAGCAGTTCCAGAGTGAGTTCAACAGCAGTCTCCGAACAGCTTTGAACGACAGGAGTACCACTCAAGGAACACCTTGTGCGGCTTTGTCAGACACAGGCGGGCTTGTGATGTCCAGCTACTTGTGAGACTGTGAGACGTACTCATTGTGCTGTAGGGGCGCCAACACTTTGGCCCTCCGTTTCTTTTCTAGATTCTAGCTGGCCTAGCCTGTCGGTACATCTGAATTCGCTGTTCCGACTCAGCTTGCCGAATTCGAGCCTCCAGTTGAGCTGCAGGTACACTGGACCTTGATAAGAAGACGCACGACAAACTCAAACGTCACCATAACTCAGCTGAGGCTCAGCGGGCGATTGTGCTCAGGGTTGTTCCGGCGCCACGGTCTTGTCTCCCTCCTGGTACAAAACAGAAAAGCGCGAGCTCGCTTTGCTGCCAACTCGGGCCGTGGCCATCTCACCACTGTCGGCAATCATGCTCCAAATGTTGGGCAAGCCGTGCTTTCGCAGGGCATAGTCCCTGTCATGTTCATTTGCCAAGAACGGGAGGCACCGACACGATGCGAAATATGTGAAGACCCTCTGGAACAAGAGAGAGTTGCCCTGTGATCTCGCCCTTCATTTCTCCAACCAGGTTCTGGGACTTGCCCAAGGAAAAATAGTGAAAGCAGTGGACCTGGAGGTGCAGCCAGCGAGGGCAACTGCCAACAAGGGTGCTAAGCAGCAACCATGCCTCAAATTCGACACCAAACAAATTGTGGTAAGGGATCTCGTCAGAAGCCAGAAAAGAGCCTCTCGATCCGAAACTTGTCGAGATGATTTAGACAATCGAAAAGCAGCCCCATCCACTGATTCCGAACTCGCCTGTTTGGACATGACGAAGGACCAGCGGACTTCCTGCTGGTACCTGATGATGTCTTCGCAGGGACACAATCAAAAAGAATTGCACCAAAGAAAAACTGGATTTCTGGACGGAGCACTGCTTCGCCATCCATCTCAAACCGCGACTGCGTGTCTGGAAAGAGAGCCTCACAATACAGTAGCACTTATCCCACGATCCCACAAGGATGTCCTAGGGCCTGCCAAAGCGTCTCCCCACTGGGTGCGGTCAGGGCTGTCACTTCCTGGTGCCTGGCAGAAAACATGTCAAATCAATGTCATGCATCATGAAAACCTCGCCAGAAACGGGATGTGGTGGCCGGCCTGGAGAACTTTGCAGCTGCCAGTCCGGTGACCATCTCGCTGTGCAGGTAAGCGTCGGCTTTGATCCTGCAAAACACGCGGGGGCCGCCACTGAGTGGAAATGCTGCGGCAAAAAGCCGAGTGCCAGACTCTGAAAAGGGGCACAGTTTGATGCGAATGTTCTGACCGTAGTGCACGGTGTCATCCTCGAAGCCTGGGAGCAGATTCTCGACAAGATCCTCACTCAGACAGAGCTCCTGGGACCTGGGACCCCCAGCCATCCTTCGGATCGGCACGTTCGATGACGAAGACATTTCGCACACACGGGCTGCCGACAGGGCTGGAGGTGATCATGTATGCCTGTGGTCGTTTTGCTCACGGCGCATCGCCAAGGGGTGCAAGTAAGATCCTGGCCGGAGAGGACTTGGCGACAACATCGTACGGGTTGGCGCTCCTGAAGAAAGCAGCCGCTACAGGTACTCCATGCCTACTCCTCCACGGCTTCACGGCCGGAAATACAAGCTCGTAAAGATTCACACCGCTGAAATGAAGCTTGGGCAGCAGCAAAACGCCCTTGGACTGATGGTTCACCAGCATAACTTTCATGCCGAAGTGAAGGAATCCGTCGGGCGATGAAGACAACTGCCAGCGTGCAATGTGTGCACATGCGCTGAGTACATGCGCTTCTCAAGAAGGCTTCCGGGTAGAATCCTTTTCAACACAGCGGGCCTCATCGGCGTGAAGGGAAGACTCCAACTGTCTCTGCCTCGGCCAAGCAGAAGACAGAATCGGATCGAAGTTCCAGCGAGGTTCGGCCAAGAACTGTCGGGCGGTGGCATCTACGTCAAACGATTGATGTTGAGCTTGACTGCATTCAGAAGCTACACAGAAGTGTGGAAGCACCGCACCATGTCTGCCTAAAACCATGTCATGCAGACGCAGATGACTGGTTGGCCATGCAGCCCTATGGAGGGCCGTTCAGGACAAGTACAGGCTTTCCTGGCGGCCTTTACTGATTGCCCTTCTTGGGGCACCCGAGACCTCAAAATCTGCACACCGAACTATTCTTGCGAGCGGCTTGGCAGTGACAATGAGGCTACCTGTTTCCTGGAGGCGTCTTGAGAGCATGGCCCTGACAAGCAAGCAAAGAAAATCTCTGCCAGTCCTTCTTTTTCAAGTAGTCTTTCAATTTGATCTCCTCTAGTTCCAAGTCCTCAAGACGACCAGAAAATCAGTGCAGATGTCTTGCAAAGCCAGTCAAAAGCCAGCCTCACTCCAGTTCCCGATGCGCGTCTTGTGATGGTATTTGGGCCCGCCAGTAAGCTGCTGCGGAGTGAACATCATCTTGGCAAGATGAGGTGAGACTAGGGAACAACTTCTGTCCAGCTTGAGCCGCCTGCGGCACAACAGTGGATTCCTACCAAGTTCAAGGGTGCTGTGGCAAAAACTTTAAAGATTGCAAAATGTGGCATCAGCTGGGACACGTTAGTTTTTTTTGCCTACCGCTTGCCAAATTCCTCGGTTTAACCTGCTGGTCTCTGTGACTACTGGAAAGTAGTCCTGCCATTTGCAAACTGATCAAGGCGTCACATACGCGACTCGTCACCTGCACAGTCGGATGGCATCGTCAGTACCCTGAACCCGAGAATGCAGGTACGGTGCCTCACCAGCAAGCGCTGGCTCAACAGTTCTGCTGCCTTCTTGATGGCTGGCCTGTGCTTTGAGCCGCACGGCATATGTCCAAAGCATCCGGAAATGAGATGCTTTGGACGGGACTCTTCGGCCTTGCGCCGCTTTTCAACGCTGCAGCTGCACGCTTAGAAGCTTCACCTGTCTTTGGCTTCGGCCTCGACAGCGAGTTTCAAGAGGTCTGCAGCATGAGGGAAGCTCCTGTTGGGAGAAGCGTCGCGCTGACCTGATCTCAAAACCATCCAGATCACTGGAGTCCAGGTCCTGGCAACACGCAGTTCACCCCGTTCTGAGAGCGTTCGGTGCCGGAGCTCAAAGTCCTGCACTTCTAGTTCGCCGACGACCTCCTCTCCCTCGAAGAAGCCTTTCCACGCAAGCTTCACCTGACTCCCAGCTAAGGATGCGACAAGCTATTCCTGCAAAGGGTCGTGAGGATCGCACGGTGAACTCGAAGCCAAGCCGCGGCCTACCGTTTCGCAGTGGTGGCAGCTGCTGCACTGTTTCTGCAGTCGAAAGAACACATAGCATAATCCGAGTGGTCAGCACTGCTTACTTACCCTTCAAGATCGAAGGTCAAGGACGGCAGCAACACGAAGTCTAGAAAGAAGCCACTCGCTGCAGCAACTACGAACTTACAGCTTTCATTGAAACGATGTGATGCAGTGCCACGACGGAGCTTGCACGGGACGCCTTCCACGAATGTGATATGCCGATGAATCTCCCGTCACGGTCACCTTCGTGGCTTGGACCTGCGAATTGCCGCGACACATTCCGGGAAGACGCGTTACCGAATACACAACCTTGTTCCTGTCATCCTGCTGGAGGAGGAAGAAGTCTTCGTCCCCCAAAATCTGCACATCGGGGAAACTCGGCGAAGCGTCGCACTTTCGGCTGCAAGTATTACGTTGCCTTCTCGAGCTCTGTTCGGGCAGCCACGCCCATGTCCTCATGTGCCACAGACGCAGTGTCTCCTCGAAGGCTAGGTCTCGCCACCCGCACTACGAAGCCTCGCCTTCTCCTCCCATGTTCCGGCAGAGTTCCAACTGCGACAGCGGCAAACATGTACGCGGCATTGCATCGCTGCAGAACTCTAAGACCAGGTTGGGCTGGACCACACCGTCCGGAGTGGACATCATACGGTAACATCGTGCTCAGAATCATCGGGTGTGCCACGTCGAATCTTGCAGAACAAAGCATTCACAGGCCTTGCTGTTGCTTCTTCGGTCCGACAAACACGTGTTCGGCTGGGATTTCGGGTGATCGCACTTTTAACATCATGGTTTCTGACGTTTTCTTTTCTGACGACCCAGACTTGACCGGAGACTCGCACAGCAAGATGCAAGGTGCAGCTTCCCACCTGGAGCTCACAGAATCTGCCTTGGGCAGAGCCTGCCATGGCGGATGCAGGCCGAACACTGCAGCGACGAGCTTGGGACCACCTGGGCTGGCTGGTCTCCATCAATCTTCTGTGGCCGGTTGTCCGGAAGAACATGAGCATCATCAATATCTCGTTTCCAATACCTTGAATGCAAGGAGGGCAAGATTCAATGATTGCCACGGCAAATCCACTGATTGCATAAGATGCTACCGTCTGTGCCACTGAAGGGGTTACTGAGCGTCCTTTGCACCGTGTGGGCGAACAACTGCGGAGGGAAACTGCTTAGGCTGCTCTGCTCGATTTCGCAGGTTCACGATTGTTGCGCCTGTCTGTAGCCCGTGCTCAAACCGACAACGCAATTCTTTACAAATTGCATATGTGAGTTTGCGGCTGGAGGATCGTAGCTGCTCACAGTTTTTGGCTGCAAATGACTTTGAGGGAGTATAAGCGCACATGACTGCCCTGAAAACTACGACTGCCTCGAGGATGGGCTTCTCACAAGCGCACGCACAAACCCTCGAATCGACGAATGCCTCGAGGCTTCTGCCCTTAAAGGTCTCCCGCAGTCACTGCTGCATTTTCTCCTGGTGAAAGGGCGTCCATGATTCTTTGTTGACTGTGCAGGTGTGCAACCTCCGGTCATGCCGAGCCCATCAACTTCCTTCAATGCCAACACATCATTACCAGATTTCCTGTTCCACTGGCTTTTCAATCTTGTTTGGATCATTTGTTTCGCCAAAGTTTCTAGGAAAAGTTCTCATGCTAATCGTGCTGACCAGTGATATCGACAAGAAGCGCTGGTTTTCGAATCCATAAGTTTCGAGCGGGGGTTCATGCGCGAATGCGGTTCTCGAATCACAGCGGCATGCAGTGCTAGAGAAATACCAGCCATCTGCACCGCCCGAACCCGGTTACGTCTGTTAGATGCTTGTCGCACTGAGAGAACAGTTGCCTAGCCGATGTTGAAATGATCTCTGAACAGCCAGAAACATCACATTGCTTGACGCTGCCCTGCCGTTGTATTCGTAATGATCTTTGGACTCCCAGTCGGTCATGGAGTAACGACCACGGAAGCTCCAGCCAGACTGCAAGTTTCGGATACAGAATCTACGGCTTTTTCCTGCGCAATACAAGCGCGCTCGTCATCCCGTAGGCCCGGCAAAAAACTAAATCTCTTCGAGAATGCAAAGCAGTGACGCAGTTACAGTCACAGTCACGGCATTGTTGCTGAATCTTCACTGCTCTTCAGCAAATGCACAGGCTGAGGTCCTGGCGTGTAACCGGACTTCTTTGCGACTTCTTCCTCCTCGCCAAGGTCAAAGGGTCAAGGTGAGCGCAGCATGCGCAGCTGGGAAGACTTCAGCCTTGGCCATCCTCGCTCGGCCTCCTCGGCCGCGGTGGGACCTCCGCTGACATCCGCTGACCGCCGTGTGCAATTCAAGCGAATCCCGTGCCACCTCGACAGTGGCGACGTCAGCCAGCGTGGGGCGAAGATACGGTGCAAGTGAATTTCCCGTTTCTTCTGGTTTCAGTTTCAAAACTTTCAGGTGCCGCTGCCAGTACTTCAAGGACCTTGAGCTTCAGACTCGCTTGCCTTTCCTCGCTACTCTGCTTGCCGAGCCAAAGCTAAGGCAGAATGCTTGTGAGACCACACTCCACCACCACAGAAAAACAGGCGTTGGAGTTGGGACCCGCCTCGTTGCGACGGCCGGAGATTCCGAGGTCCTTGCCTCCGTGAGCACAGCTCCGCCCCTGTGGCGGGTGCCTCGGAGACTTCCGCGCCCACGGCCCGCACGCTGGAGATTTCCGAGAACCGCACAGACCATCTACCAAGCTGCAGAGATATCTATGGTCTTAAGGCACTCAAGGCACCCCCAATCAGAATACAGAAACCACTACTGGTTTCACTCAACTCGTGAGTCTGCGAACGGCGCTCTGGAACGACCATGCAACTCTGCAGATACAACATGACATGAAAAATCAAGAAAAAGCTTAGGCTTACCACTGTTCTTCGCAGCTGGTCAAAGAAAACTTGCGATGCCCAGGCCTGGCAGGTTCATCCAATCAGGTGTGATCTCATCCGACACATGCACTGTGCATGCAAGCTTTATCTTGTTGGCAAGAGGAGCAAACTATCTTAGCTAAAGGTGATACCACTCCCAAGTTCTGCCTCACACGAGTAGGGCTCTCGTGTCGTCTGCGCCAGTGCCGATGTGGTTTTGCGTTTTTCAATCACGGGTCGCCCTTGGATGCCCTTGGCTGAGTGCCGGCCCAGGTCGGAGCCTGAAAGAGCTGCTAGTACTGCCACTGTTTGCCAAAGCACTCTAGGGAATTTGGAGGCTCCACTCCCGCAGCGGTTTGTGCTCTTGCGGGCGCTGCTACGCGGCTGGGCATTTCGGCGTCTAAAAATCTGGGCGAGGTTGCTCAAGAGTCGAAGACAAGAAGGCACAGCAAAATGGCCACAGGCTCTTAACGGCAGCAGCGACCTTCCCAAAGTTGTGTTCGTGTGGCTTATTCGTTTCTCTCCGCTCACTCCTTTTTCACAAGCCCCGATCTGCACCTCGAGAGCAACTCCAGAACGCGGAGGCTCGTCCAACTGCAGCATGATAAGCTCGCACCACAAAAGCTCTGCCCAGAGATACTCAAGCCTCTGCACAGCATCCAATTGCCAGCACGAAGTGTGGGGAGGCACTTCTCCAAGCCTCGGTTCCTTTGACGGAGACAGCGGTAGTTCGGACACCTGTCAACTAGGCATAATCCGTCGTTCTTTGGCTGGCCTGGTGTGCTAAGGACTTGATAAGTGGGCCTCGACAGGGTCTTTCGTCACCATTAGGAGGGAAGAGGTCGCACCTGGCTCGGCAACAACTTACCTAAAATACACCACACTCTAGCTCACATTGAGCCCGCAACAGTCTCACTCGCAGCGTTGGAACATCCTGAAGACATTCTGTCAATATCTTCTGCTCACGTTGATCCAAAGAGGTCTAGCTGCAAGCCTGTGAGACATCGGAAGCGGACCTCATCGTGGTGGTTTACAGAAAACGCAACACTAGATGCCGTAGCATGCTCAAGGACTCTACCTCCGTACTTGGCACCATACCGGCTGGAGTTAGTACCGAGAAGAGCTGCTACAAACGCCTGCACGCTGCAAGCGAACACCGAAGTTCGAGACGATCAGCGTTGAGACTATCAACACCTCTTTCCGTAAACGCCCTCCGGAAGCCCTGACCTTAGATGAAGCACGTGCAGACTGGACTGGGCTTTGCGGAAAAGTAATCACACTGCTGATCTAGTCACCAGCCAAGCAGCAATACTTGCTCAAGCTACTGCTCAAAAAATGTCATTGATTGCTGTCGTCTGCAACAGTTGAACATAGGCTACTCAGCAGTCTCCTTCGCCCACGATTGACTTTTTGAAAGATGGCAATTGCGAGCTGGAATTCTGGTGCTTGGACGATACCCTATATATTGCTGGTGCCTCCTGGCAAAACCCGTCGTGCACGGGCCCCACATGTTTTGTTAAAGGTCTCCTGCCCACTCCACCCCCTGCCACCCTGTGCAGTGCGCGGTGGCCGGAGATTCTCAATCTTAAAGCTGTTGATTCATCCGCAACCGCCCTTCAACGTGGTCTCCGTGCGTTCGTTCACAGGCGCGCATGTGCGTTCACATTTATCTCATACGTGCATGTATGCACACATTACATAGACATACGGACCTTGGCTCCTTGGCACATATGCGAGCAGAAACAACACATGTGACCAATCCCTGTGAAAGACCGCAGCTTAAGGCATGCGTTTGGGAAAGAGGAGCTTCGTCGTGACTTGACAACACGTCTTCGGTCAACTTGGCCCAGGAAACTGCCCGGAAGCAAAGAGGAAATGCTGAGCACTGGTCTGAAGCTGCTGCAATCGCGCGAGCACCATCTGGACCTCTGAAGCATTGCAACAGTCGAGAAACGAAAACCGAGACAGCTGCCACCATCCCCCTGGCCAATCTACGACACTCCGTTTTCATCCCATCGCGACCAGAAGTATGGGGCTTGCTCGGCACTGGAAGATGATGCATCAGATGTCAGTGCGAGCCGACAGAGTTCCTTGCCGACATGGCAAGTCGTCAAAGCCCAGGCCCAGCAGAGCACTCAGAGCACTCAGGCGAGGAGAAGCTTCACATCCGGCTTGTCTGTACCGGCCTGAAGTCTTCGGAACTTTCAAAGCACGCTTGGCTTCTTGGCTCTGTCTGTGGTCGGCCGCTTCTCCCCTTTGTCTCATATGATTTTTACGGGGCAAGATAAACATTGCGAGAAGCCATGAGAAGGAAAAGTCGATTTTTGTTTGGAGAATGTCTTGCAATACGACACGAGAAATCATAGTGCAGGAACCATCTGGACATGAAGACATGAAACGAAAATTATGAATCTGGTATACAGTTATACTCCAACGTCGTGGTATGAAGGTAGTAGCGACCGCAATGGTCCTGAACCACGAAACCCTTTCCCAGGTTTCTCGAAATGCGCTATCAGCAGGATCAGGAACAGTTGTTCAGATTCTCGAACCTAACAAAAACAAGCTTTCTGATGTTGCTAGGTGCTCTGTAATCAACTCTCACACATACTTACTGTGCATCTGCGCATCAACATTTCAGATACTTCCTTTACACAGTCATGATTCCGAGATCGATATGCTCAAAAACTCAGGTATGCTTCCAAACACAAGAACGTCCTGCGAATCATAGACTCAAGATGCGGTTCCAGGTTCCGGATTCGCGTGATTCTGGATCCGATACTGATCAATCGGAGTACGTTGCAAATTTCAGGTGGGTATGGGAAAGGCATTGCTACACATTGCTGTAAAGATGCTTGGTCCCATGGCGAAGCACCACGGGACTGACAGGGCATCAGGAATGGTTCTGGTGACCACCGAGCAGCGCATGTTTGTTCCTGATATTGAGAGCCATGTGGTTGCTGTTGCTCTTGGTTCTCTGATTGTAGATAATGCTCACTGTGTGCTGTTTGCGTTTCTGGGCCTTGTCTTACTGCTACCTCTGTTTGTAGTTCTTGGAGTTCATTCGTTGCATGCGTGTATGCTGTTAGTTGCCTCCTATGCCCCTGGACACTTGCCCTTCACTGCCATAGTTTATTTTCTGCCACAGGTTCTATTAAATGCATGGTACGCCTTGGGGCTGCCTTTCGATGCCTCCGGCCTCTCCGGATGTTGGTCGTTCTTCGCTTCCTTAGGGCTTAGGTGCCTTTCAAAGTGGCACCTCTTCTTGTCGGCATCGTGTCATGTTGTCATGTTCTTCTGAGTTCACTCGCTTCTCCTGCCTTCGTTGAACCCTTTCTTTCGCATCCGTCTCCCGATCCGACGCGTAACAAAGCGGCGGAGCATAGCTTGGATAAACTCCAGCCACGTGCTTCTGGCAGGTCCTGGGTGCCGGACGATACCATTGTTGATGAGGTTCCGCAGAGCTGGATTTTCCAGAGCAGCTGCAACTCGCTCCTTGTCTGCGAGCCTTAGCAAGGCATGCCGAATGCGTTCGGCGCGATGACACGGACACGGACATGCACACACGCACAGACACACCTCTCGAACCTCACCTCAACATGGCAACGACAATATCGGTTAGTTGAAAAGTGTAGAAGATGCGGCTGAATGCCGTGCAGACACTGTTTGTTGACCTGAGCGAGAGCAAATCATTGGATGCATCGTTTGCACTGCGGGCTCGACAGAAAATCTCTCAGCCAACAGCCTGGTCTTCAGAGTTGTGAGTTCCGGGTGTAATTTCCACATCAATTTTGTATCCTCGGCACAACATGGACTGGCAGGCAGCCTGACAAACTGTATCACTGGCACGGGTGCTCAATCGAGATGAACGATATCAAGCGTCTACGAGGAAGCGAGCGAAGAAGCTTGGCCTGTTGAGCTTGCGAGGGCATTGGTTTCCGCACTGCGGCATGTTTGCTTGCATGACCTTTATAGGGACATACATCAAGAAACAGTCTTCGCACCAGTCACACTGTCACCATTTCGATTGCAGGTGACTCCGGTGGCTCGTACAACTTTGGATGGTGGAGGTGCAGCAGCCCGAGAAGTGACACGGCCTTGATGGTCAGGCCAATCAAGGTTGCCACGCTGCAAGTGGGGACGGTCGGTGTGAAGCGCACCTTTGCTTGTGAAGGGAGCTTGGTTCTGAAGTCCCAATGCTCAAACCTTTGGACATCTCTGCCACCACGATTCGAAAACCGTGTTGGCCGTGTCATTGACCCATACATGGCCGGACTCGACCACCCTGTCGTTGACAACGGAGGCTATCATGACATGACGAGCCGCAAAACAACACTCTACACGTAAGACTCATGGCGCATTGCAGACAAATGAGATTGTGAAAACGGGCCTGTTATGTCCGTGTCTCTGTGTCTCTGTGTCTCTGTGTCTCTTAGTGTTTGCTTTGCTCGGGGTTGTCTCTGTGTCTGTGTGTGTGTGTGTGTCAGTGTCTATGTTGTGTGGGTGTGGCTGTGTTTGTGTCTGTGTCTGTGTCTGCGGCTGTGGCGGTGGCAGTGTCTGTTTCTCTGTCTGCGTCTGTGTCCGGGTGCGGGTGTGCCATGGGTATGTGTCTCTGTCTGCGTCTGTGTCTGGGTGTGGGCGTGCCACGGGCACGTGTCTCTGTCTGTGTTTGTGTTTGTGTGTGTGGCAACCCTGTGTACAAGGGGCTGCAGATCGCGCACTGACAAGTTATGTACCGCAGCCATTCTTCGCACGGAAAGCGTGCTATTCATGTTTGATTTGATGCCACCACACGGTTAAAGAACTTCATGCAACTCTCCATTGGCGCAGCAGGGGTGCACTGGACAATTTGGACGGCACTGCCCAACGAAGACCTTCCCAATTTGTCGTGGTATGGATTGGGGACGCTCAATCCACGTACCTGCGAGATTGCTTGTGACATCCTGGTATTCGCTGTACATGGCTCGTCGTTGTACTGGTATGCTGTGTGACTGGTATGCTGTATGTCCGGATGGCCTGGGGCCAAGCCGAGAACCCCTATTTCCATACTGTCAGTGCTTGCGTGCATCAGTGCTACCTTGACCATGCATTGCCTGAAGGACAGCTCGCGACCACCGTGGTGCATTTAGTTACATGTGTGGTTGCAGTAGTCAGTCGAACCCATTTCCCCAGTCTTGCTCTTCGGTGTCCATATTGTTGTTGAGGCCGGTTGTGGTTTTGGCACGCAGGTGGAGGTGCACACTTCTTGCCCTTCTTCTTTGCAGTTTCTGTCCACGTGCTGACGTGTCAAATGTTCACGGATGTATGGTCGCTTGAGACCTGGTCATCGGTACTTGTCCTCGCCAAATGCAAACCCGTGCGCGTGCTGCCCTCGTTCATGTTTCAAGGAGGAGTCGCACTCCTGCACACCTCATTCTTTCATCTCGCAGGTGGACGGAGGGGTGTAAAAGGGAGCTCCGTCCAACGAAAGTTTCCCCTACTCTGCACCTGCATTGCTCGCTCATGGATCCCTGCGGGGACAGCTGGAGCATCATATCATTCTCATCCTCCTCTCATTTCGTGCTACATCATTCCGTGTGTCTGGCACAGCAAAAGTCCGAAACCATATCCCGACGGATCATCTCATCTTGCTTGTCTTTGTATGGTTTTCCTTCGGTCTGGCATAAACGTACCAAAATTTCATCTCATCTTCGGTTGTCATCAGCATCAACACCATCATCAACATCTTCCTGTTTCATTGTCAACTATGACTGTGACCGTCCGTTTAGAATCAGTAATCAGTGTGTGTGTGTGTGTGTGTGTGTGCCTCTTTTCATTTGTGTGCATGCACGCATGCGTCCATGCTCGCATGAAAGCGTGCGGGCGTGTAAGACATGTGCGAGCGCATGCGGGCGTGTGCGGGCACGTGCAGGTGCGTGCCGGCGCGTGCGTGCGGGCGTGCGGCCGTGCGAGGGTCGTGCGGGCGTTCCGGCGTCGTGCGGGTGCGAGCGTGCGGGCGCACGGGCGTGCGGGCATGCACGTACATACTGTTTTGGATCAAGGACATGTACGTAATGGTTAGTCACGCCCGGCTGTCAATTCACTCCAGCCATGTAGAGGGCGGACGATCCCAATTTGCAACCTTCGCCAACAAGCTCCGCGACTTGGGACAGGTAGCTTGGATACGGGCAAGGCTGTTTAGCAAACCAGTCTGCAGTGACTGGCTGGAAAAAACTATGGGTTTTCCGACAGCTTCAACCAAAGAGTTGGCAACTTGCACCTCGTCGTTCACACAATCACTTTGGTATGTCTGTGGATACATGCGTGCTCAATATACCGGAGTCTATGTGTCTTTCTTGAGAAACAGAAAATCCACACAAACCGTCCGCCAACATCCATCAATAGTGTCAACAGTGTTGGCTGTGCCAAGTGGCTTCAGCTGCTCCAGGGATAGGTTCGGATGCTCTGGATCTGTCAGGTGTCGCAGACTTTCGAATATCTCCTGACGGAGGTCACCAAAGACCCTCAGAGAATTACCCAGAATGTGCTACCCTCGCCTGTGGTGTCAACTCATCTTGCAAGTCGGTAATTTCGAGAAGTTCCTGCACAGTAACTACATCTGCTGTAAGCGGATGTCCACATGCATCGTCTGTACTCAATTTCTGCGAAGCCGTCCTGCAAAGATCTAAACTGGATTGCTTGTCCACTCCCGTACACAACGGGATTTGGATTGTCCTCCGCGCTCCTCAAGCATGCAGAGACGACATCACGACCGCCAGGGACTTGCAAGATTGTACTGAGCCTGATGCAAGCGCCCCAACTGCTGGCTCCAACCCAAGATCGAAAGATCGAACGGGAGAGCACTTTCAATCAATCAAATTGACAAGCACTTTTTTCAATAACAAGGCAGGCGTTAGTCAAGCTCAATGAGACACTTGCACCCTGCTGCATTTAGGCAGGCCGCAGCTTTAATGATATAGGCTTTAGAATCCGCCAGGTCGTTGCCCCGCAAGTCGACGTGTAGTTTCTGAGATATCACAGATCGCGACGTGTGAGACTCCAGCGTATCTGCGAGCTGCAGGGCGACATGACCAAGCCCACAGTGAGCCAAATCAATATGAGCTCGCTGGGCATGTAGCACAGCACAGAGCAACTTAGGGGCACTCCGACCGATGAGGTTGATGTCAATGTGCAAAACGATATCCACAAGAGAAGGTGCCAAAGCTTCTGACAACTCATTTGCGCCTCTGCTTGAGATCTTGTTGAAGCTGAGGCGAAGATCTAGATGCTTCAATCGCAACACAGATAAGGACATTGCCAGGCCTTGCGAGCCATCATCTCCAAGCCAGCAGCGGCGCAAGTCAAGGGTCAAACTCGTCAGTGGATGCTTACAAAGGCTCTGGGTCAGTTGGCAAATGCTCTGGCGCAGAGTGGTCTGATATGCCAAACCAATGGCAAAGCTTTGCAAACTTGACAACGTGGCCACTGCCTTCTGCAAGGACTCTACAGCAACCTCTTCTACCACGATGTCGCGCCTGAACTTGACGGCAAACGTATGCAGAAACTTGAGTTGTTCTCGCTGCGCCCTGGATGATGCGCAGAGCAGCGAAATCTCCGAACTGTCCAAAGCAGTCAGAAGATGGCGAAGAAGCTCTGGGGATGAAAAGGCCGCCATGTTCTTGTATCATGCCTACAAGGCCTGCGGCCTAGGAGGAGTCAGGAGAGCATACTAGCAGCTACGAGCAAAACATGAAATGTCATAGGCGCGTAAGTAAGTATGGAAAATCTACTCCACAGTCGAATTGACAGAAAACGGCTGGTCGTCTGCTGCATGGCATCACAATTTGCAAAACCAGTCGCGGGACTTCCAAGCATCTACAGGGTGAGGCCATGAACACTCAAGACAAAAGGATGCATCAAATCCTTCTAGGAAACGCGAAGACGTGGTTCCCTTCTAGGAGACAACTCCTGCTTAAGCCTCACAAACTGGCAGACTCGAATCCGCGGTCTTCACGAACCTTGCTAGAGAAGAACCTGCACTTGAAGCAGACATGCTACCTACCCTCATATCCTCCGAACGTAACAAGCAAGGCTCGTCAAGCTCTAATGCTTCAAAGACGCATCGTCGCGACAGACAATGTTTGTCAACCAACTGCCACCAGCGGAGGCTGACGTTCTTCTGTGATTTGCATGCATTAGAGGTTGCAACGCTTGATGTGGTTGATGAAATGCTACTGCATACTTCGAGCTTGCTGCATGCTGGAGTGAAATAGAGCCCGTGCTCGAGCTCGAGCACCGCGCAGAATTGAGCCCAAAAACGTGTGACAGAGCTTTTTGAGAGGGCAAGATCTAACTTCGAAGACGGACAATGGTCCGGTGACGGTCTTCTGTTCTGTGCGACCCGTCCCCAAATCTCAACCCTTCAGTGAAGCTCTTCCCTCGTACAGCCTCGTGTGAATCAATGATTTTGGCTGTTTTTGCAGTGTCTTGTGGTACCATTCTGAACCCTCGCTGATGACCGAAAGCTGCAAATTCTGGATGGGTAAGTAACATATAGACAATTTAACGACACTCTCCGGATTTCATCGCCATGCCAGCATCTGTAGTGATCACTGTTTCTTGAAACACCTCCCACCGCCTCCTCTCTCTTCGGCAGGGCCTATATATTCTAGTTGATGGCTTGTGGCTCTCCCTCCCCGTCTGCATGCATAAATCTTGCTAGCTCTCAGCATTCTCTGGCGAATACTCAAACTCTCATAAATCAAGTCCGGTTGACCGCTTGCCAGAACACCAACATTAATGCAGGCTGTCAGCACGATCTCTGAAGTAGAACATGTGTGCCAACCCTGCCGAGCCAAGGTCTGCAATGTCATGTTGCAACTTCCACGTGCACTGCCGGCAACCACTCAGAGCATAAGCTGCTGACACTCTGCAAATACGCCCGAGCAGAGAACACGAAGGACCTGCAACCAAAAGCTTGAGTTCGTGCTGAAAACATGTGGGCAGGCACTGCTTGAATGCAAAACATGATTCTCATATTGACGATACCGCATGGAACCGACTACGTAGATAACAATACGCCGGGAGATGGATCCGGATGGCAACCTCCTGTCGTCGCAATCGGGGCCTTGCCAGGGCCCAGATAACCTTGTCCACGTTGATCCAAGTGACAGAAGAGGTCCTGTATCGTGCGTGATACTCGTCGGTTAACATCTGATGCGCTGCTAGGGGGTTCATTCAGGATTTCATGCAGTGGCGTATCAATGCACATGAAAAGTTCGTCACGGGTTATCTAATTTGCTTCACAAGCCTGTGCGACTTGCTCATCCCATGGCTCCAACATCATGCTAGTCTTGCACGGTGTAGTTACGAAACGAAATGCCGGGCTTAGGTGCTTGCGAACCAGTTGATTCTCCATTTGCGTTTTCAACCATTTGGGTTCATGTAAAGCTAGCATCACATAAACCCCATATAGTGGTACCGCTGATGCATACCAAAACATGGTGCCGTCTTCGATCGCAAAAACTTGTTGTGCGGACTACTCTTGTGACGGATTACGACAGGTGGCTCTGCACGAGTATGAAACAGCATTGCAACAGCTGATGGCACCCCTTGAGCGCCGCTGTGGCACCTACGGCAGCCAAGAACGCATGCTTGCAATGCAGGCAGATAGTGCTGAATCGAACCTTTGCGGCTATGCATTACCGGGTTTTCGATCAAAAGCAAATGTGGCGGTGCTGCAAAGCCACTTGGCGACCAAGCCACTGGAATTTCGCCAAACGGGGGCTGAATGATGCCACGTGCGCAAAATGTCCCGTGAGAGGATGAGGCAGACTTGTCGGGAACTGCTTCCAACGGCGATGAAATTCTTTTTGCATGCTTTAGGACGCCTGCGGACTATGCGCAAGTCGAATGTAAAGCACATGAATGCCATCAAACGCAAAACAACAAATCATATGATGTATATAAAAGGATGGCAAAATTTTCAACACCGTATACGAAACTTTTTAAATCTTCGCAGAATGAAAAGTCTGCTTTCGGAGGATTTGCCCTGCTCCAACAGCTTGAGACAGGTCATTCTGCAATTTCAAGCGGATGTGTGGGGTCACAACTTTACTTTCTGCCCGAAACCTCACCAAGCGCCATCCGCAGCTGCATTGCGCCCCAATAGGCCTGCTTAGGCCCGACATTTCAAAACCTTGCTGCTTCAACCGGCAGAACCCAGCTTGCACTGCAAGAACGATTGCCGGACGGAGAAAACCTCTTCATCATCAAACACTGCAGGAGGCCGAGCTGGAAGCTCAGAAAACAAGAAGCTGTCTGCCAGCCAGTGACTTGCATCAAACGCGCTTGACCCGCTGCTTGAACATCAGGTAGATCCGGATATGAGATCCACGGTGAAGCTACAAGCTGAAAATACTTGCAACTTTGAAGCTTTGAAGCCTTCGACGCCGAAGGGTCGAAGGGGTGGGGGGGAGGGGGGAGGCGGGGAGAGGGGCGGGGAAGGGGGGAGGGAGGGGGGAGGGGGGGGAGGGGTGAAACACTCAATGTTGCACATCCAGGTTCTCAGTAAGAATACTGTGAGTTTGCAGAGCAATGCAGAACAGAGTGAGGAAGCGCTCTCTTCTTTTTACTCGCGAAGGATGCTTGAAGTCGGTGCGAGGCAATGCGATGCCCAGTAACAGGAGGAGCGGGGCAGTGCGTTGCCGAGCTCTTTTCCCCCAGGGTTGAGGAGGGTGGGTGAAAAAGCTAAAATCGGAAGCGATCCGGGTCGACAGCTTGAGCTAGCAGTGCGGCGCAAGGCGAAGCAATGCAAGCTCAAGTACTTACCGAAAACACTGTCGACCAAAACAACAAACTCACGACAAGCGTTCTCAGTAAGAATACTGTGAGTTTGCAGAGCAATGCAGAACAGAGTGAGGAAGCGCTCTCTTCTTTTTACTCGCGAAGGATGCTTGAAGTCGGTGCGAGGCAATGCGATGCCCAGTAACAGGAGGAGCGGGGCAGTGCGTTGCCGAGCTCTTTTCCCCCTCTTTAGTTCGACTTCAGCATCCTCTGCCTCGCGGGCTCAGAAATCCCCCCTCGCACGAGGATGTAGAAGGAGACCTGTCGAGGCGGACATGGAGAAAGCAGTAAACGTGCCAGAGCACAAGGCGTGCAGGTGGCAAAGCTCTGATGCAGAGTTTTTTTCCGGTTCACGACGGTGAGAGAATCAACGCAGTAGGCTGCGCTGTGCCTCGCAGAGGCGAGGGGGGAAGGTGTTCTCCTCCCCTCGAAGTGAAACTGTGTGCGAAGCAGATGCGAGCTGCGCTAGGCTGATGCGAACGCGTTCGGCACTGCGGTGCTTAATGAAGGCCAGGCGTCCGCGGCTGAGGGCGTCAGCCCACGTGTTCTTTTCGCCGGCCAAGTGCTCGACCTGGAACTGGACACGGTGCAGGTGCGCCCAGGTGGCGGCAAGGCGCAAGAAGGTGCTGAGCGGTTCTGTTGTCGTAAACAGGCGGTTGACGCCACTCTCGGCAGAGGTGTTGTCGCTGGCGCTGGGAAGCACAAAGCGCGTGTGTTTATGCCGAAGGAGAGCCCATGAGCAATGGGCGAGTGCAAGCTGTGCCAATGCCTCGAAACAGGCTATGTAGCTTTGCATGGAGCCGTGCAGTTGAGGCCACTCGGCGCGGACTTCGTCGGCAGTAAAGATCTCGCTGTACCAAACAAAGTGCGATGAAGTGCTGAGCCAGCCGCCGATGCCCATTCGGTCAGTGTCGGCGAAAGCGTCCGCGGCGCTCATGCAGGGCGCGACGGGAGGAGTGCGGAGGCTGCGTGGTTGCTCGTGCTTAAAGCAAAGCTCTAGCCAGGCGAGGCAGAATTTTGCTGTCTTGTTTGAGGTGAATTTCTGTGCGATTAGGATCGGCCAGGCGGACCCACTGGTGCTTGTGGGAGGGCGGCACGCGGGGCACGTCAGACTTAGAATGTATTTTAATAGATCCAACCTCAAGAAGCTGTGCATTGCGAGGCAGCCAGGAGCCAAGAGGCGTGGAAGAAAGCTTGGCGGTGTTATCAAGGCACTCATAGAAAGGCGCCCAAGCCTGCGGGGCGATGCTGTGGAGGGTTCCTGCACTGCTATGCAAGTCTTTATAAAGGCATGACATGAAGGAGCGCATGTGCGGGCTGAGAGTAGTAGCCCAGTTGAGCAGTCCGAGGCACGCTTCCAGATCCTTTTTGAGGATTTTGGTGGCAGTGCGAAGCTTGCGGAGCTGTTGGCGGAGTTTTTCCAGTTTGCTCTGGACCAAGGCGACGGTTTCTGTGCGGAAGCAAAAGGTCCAGCCGCACCAAGTGATTTGATCACCGAGCTGTGCCTTTTTCCAGCTGATGGGTGCGTGGAGCGCGGCAAGCAGTGCAACGATAAGGGCGACCGGCTGGTCGAGCTTATCACGCAGGAGCGCGGCGAGGATGTCGTCAACGTATAGCCATGCTTTGTGCGGGTATTTGCCGAGCAGTGAATGCAGGATGCGCAGGATAAGAGATCCTGTCCGTTGCCACCAGTATGCAGAAAAGCGGGCGCCGAAGTGGCAGACGGTGTAATGATAAAGTTTGTCGGCAATGCGAAAAAGCAGAGTGCCCTGCTCTGCGGGGCGAACTTTTTGTGCCTTATGTGCAGCTTTAAAATCTAAAGAGAGGCCT